AAAATGTGACATAAGAAACCCTAATATCTGTGTTAAATATACTGTAAAACAAAATTATTTTAAATGAAAAACATCCTTACTGTATTTCTACTTACCTCTCATCATTTAATAATATTTATTTTTTTCATTTACTTTTCTTAAGTAGAAGTACAAAAATCTATATGTTCCTGCTGGCTGTCCATGTAACATTTCTCTTTTATGGATAACGATTATATAAATCTCTTCAACAAATCATGAACTAAAATTCTACACAAAGCACAAGTAGGATCAATTACCTATAGTACCTTTTATCTAGCCAAAGCATATTGTGTTTTAGAACGGCAGTAATTAGGAATAAATCCAAAACACACAACTCATCAAAACTACAGATGAGACTTCTTCTGAAGCTGGCCTCTTAATTAATGTAGCTTTTAAAAACCAAATATTATATAATGTCTTGCTCCTCTTCCTTAAAAATTTTAAAGGCAAGTTTATAATCTTTTAAGTAAATAACCTATTATTAGTATTAGTCAAATATCTTGTGGGCAAAGTTACTTCTTATGTTCTAGGGCTGTAATAAAATATTAAGTTGCTGATTCATTTATCTGTGACCATTTATTGTCCAGAGGTCAGAAGGCAATTAAAGGAGCTTAATTTATTTGTCCGTCTTGGATGTCGTTATGTACTCTTTTAACAAAGTTATTTGTAGGTAATATATCCTTAATATATTATTAGCTCACTGCAGTGAAAATAGAATTAGGTTAAAATGTATTATGAACCTAATTTAAAGGAGACAAAAGGAATTTAGTCCCTCATTCAGTGAGATCTAATTAAGAATAAATCCCTGGTTTTCTTCATTTCTTAAGTAAACTACAACATCAGTATGTACTTTCTGTGTGTCTGTTAAGTAGGTTACTTGGTAGAAAAAGTAATTATTTCCAACCCTTTTATCCCAGAGAGAATCCTGACTGACCGATTCATTGACAGCTTCTGTGTGTTTACTGCCGGGAGAACCTTCCTC